TCTGGAGGTGGGGATGAGAGGGGGAGACCTGGTAGCTGTTGCTACATTGACAGGTGACGCTCACATTTGCCGTTCCTCAGAAGCTGAGATGATAGACGAACACACGGGGCAGTCCTACTCCAGACATTAACCCTTATCTTTTCTTTGGTAATCTGGTAGTCTTAGTTTCAGCTTCATCGCAAACGGGTCACCCCATAATTGCTTTTCTCCTGTGCCAACTAAAAACACACAGAACGTTTATAATTTATCAGTTATCACAGTTATCTTTTGTCACTTCTTCTTGTACAACTTCGGGTGTCGAGGGAGATATAAGGTGCTATTTCTTGCTCTTCTGGTCGTCTCGACCACATCGTGCTGTTTTAGAGTTTCTCTGATGTTATCTTTCGGTACGTATGTGTGTGTGTGTGTGTGTGTGTGTGTGTGTGTGTGTGTGTGTGTGTGTGTGTGTGTGTGTGTGTGTGTGTGTGTGTACCCTATCTCGAAGACTGAGATTTCGCGAAGAGTTCCCTGAAAAAGTCCAACATTGTGGGAGCAGGGCTAGTGTTTGATGGCATTCAGTTTACACCCTTAGACCCCTACACTACTGGACTTCCCTGGAACTCCCCATGAAATCTCGAAGTCCCCGAGATGGAATGAATGAACTGCTGTTCGTCCGTCTCTTCTTTCCGTGTATGCATTATATGGTATGACGTCACAAGGCATTCGCTCTAAGTGGGCAAACCATCGAATTTGCTGTCTTTGGAAGTAATTGAAAATAGTTTCTGTGCTTACGTTTCCAGTGAACTTAATCGTGATTTTATCTCCTCTAGATCAGACAACTTACGTCTCTCAATAATGTTAGGAAACTAAACTAGTGCTTGTGTGGCATGGATATATCTGGGGGGGGGGGGGGGGGGGGGGAGCCTTTGATAAGGCCTGGAAAGAAGGTTTCATGAAGAAACTGAGAAACTAGAAAATGAATAGGAATATGTTCAGATGGGTGACAGCAAACTTATATAACAGAAGAGCCCGATTACAGATAGAAGGAGTCAAGAGCAAGAAAGTCTTGATGCACCATGGTGTCCTCCAAGGCGGTGTCCTGTTGCCAACACTTTTTCTGGTCTACATCAACGACCTAATTGCTTTGCTGATCTACCCCATGATATTAATGCTGCGATGTTTGCTGACGACTTGGTACCATATTGCAACACAAAAAAAATCTTCAACAGTGGCCACTTGATACAAAGCTCCATAGACGCAGTAGCTGCATGGGCTCATAAATGGTGTGTCAGCATCAGCGTAGACATGTAAAGCACAGCCATCTTCACCCTCTCCTTTAAACAAAAATGAGGCATCATTCAAATAAATACAATACCACTAAGAAAGGATAAGGAGCCCACATACCTCGCAATAACGTTTTATGATAGGTTAACATGGAGAAAACACACCAACAAGGCAGCAACCATAGCCAGAAGGAAGCTAGCAATTTGATAAAACTAAGTGGAACAACATAGGGATAATGGGAAAATGCTAAGGACAAGTTGTCAACAAAGTGTAAGACCACATCTTAAACACGGGTCAACTGCATGGAGTTCAGCATCAAAAGCCATCCACAAAGGTTAGATAAATTGCAAAATCAAGCACCCAGAGTCATAACAGGCGGGATGAAATCAACACCTATAGCTGTGATGGAGAAGACGGCGATGACCCAAACACTGACTGAACAGTCAGAGTCAGACGTTGCCCAGCTTCTGAGTTGAGTGCATGGCGTAACACTGTGAGCTGCGGATTTCATTTGAACTATGATAAACATTTTATGTGTTTTTCGTTGGCACAGGTGCGGAGCAACTATGGGGCGACCCGTTTGCTATGAAGCTGAAACTAAGCTTACCAGATTACCAGATCACTGACTGAACGCTGGGACACCAAGATACTAATACAAGCAGATCAGTTTCGTGGCATGCATGAACACCCTATAGAAGATTCCAATAGCAAGCAATGGGGCGACTTAAAAGAAGCAGTTTCATCGACCAGGCCCAACGGTTCTGCAGGTAAACCACTGATCTGCCTGCAACTGACAGTCCCTTAATTGCTATTCTAGATCAAACGCTTTAGGGAAAGGATTATAAGTTCCCAATACACATCTAGACAGAAGTGAAAGGGGTATTCGACAAGGAAGAACAAAACAGTATGCAGTATGAAACAGCCACCCTCGCTCTACTAGATGATGAATACTCACAGACTCTGTGAATTCGTGTCTATACGGATGGGTCAGCACAAAACGCCAGCAGAAATGGAGGAGCGGGAGTGAATTTTGAGCATCCAAATAATACCAGATACACAACTAAAATACCAACAGGAAAGCACTGTCACAACTATGATGCAGAAGTTCGAGCCATCAAAAAGCAGCAGAGAAACTGTTGAATATACGTCATACCTCACAACCCTAGGTGTTCCTAACAGATGCAAAAGCGGTCCTTCAGACACTCGAATCCGGAAAACTACCTGGTATACGAACACTACTCTTTAAACTAGGTAGCCGGTGTAAGGTAACTATGCAATTGAAACCACCCCATTGTTGAGTTCCTGGAAATGAAACAGCTGATAAACTAGCTAAGGAAGGTGCAACGGAATAACAACCTGACGTAACAGTCTCTTATGAGAAGAAGAAGAGATCCTCAAATCAACGAGAAAGCCACCAAAACCGACACAAGACGATTATTAGATAATGGACAGACTAGAGCAAATTATTATTCTACGCCTTAGAACAGGATAAAATCAACTTTGCAGCCACATGAACACGCAATTTAAGACTGGCGAATCAGCCATGTGTACATGTGGATTAGTACCTGAGACAACAGATCACATACTCCAAGACTGTCCCAAATACAACGTGAAACGTTTGGCCAAGAGAGACACAGATGCAAGCCACAGTTTACGGGTCGCTAAATGAATTACAAAAGAAAGTGAAGTCCATATTATAGACAACATTGCAGATATAGATCATGTATTTTAAGCGAACAAACGAAATAAGAAGAGAACATAACACATGTAAATAGACCAGAACATAACACATGTAAATAGACAAGAACATAACACATGTAAATGGCACATAAATAACTGACAATAAGACCCAGGTAAACATGGTTTGGAAGTATTTATTCGATCTTTCTGATCACTTTGAGAGCCGGCGGTAGCAACAAGCTCAAGTAATTGCCCGGGAACCGTGTTATAAGGGAGCTGACGTGGTGTAGCGACTAGATGGTTGTCTGTGGATCCGAGGGTCATGGGTACATACAGAGCTGAACTTTTTTGTTGTTGACTTTAGTCCTAGGTCTTCGCAGCCTTGAATTGGTACCAGGTAAAGCACTGGGAAGAAAAGACGGTCGGCTTGATGCTGACCACATCACCCAACAAGTACCTATTGGTTTATATAATATAGGTCTAGCCCTATATGCCCAACATACCTAAAGGCGTGAACAATGATAATCTACTTAACTTTTACTGTGTTATAAAGGAAACACGTGACAGTATATTACAAATTCATGTTTGACAGCCAACACGACAGAGGCGTCAGACACACGAGATGAGACACCTTGGACCCATCCTAGAAAGTTTGCAAAGGGGATAAGCGCCCCCCCCCCCCCCCCCAACTCCACTTTTTCCACACCGGCTCATTGTATTCTTGCTTGCTTGCTTATTGTACCCCGCCAGGACATACATCACACAAGCGATAAACACCAGGTGAAACAAAGTGCCACCATGCCGATAAGGATCACCCGTGGAGTGATCCTAAAAACCCCTTTCAGTCGTTATGCCAGGGTGGGGCTTCAAAAAACGAAAAATTGCATCTCACAAGGGGTTGAAATCATAGTATATTGTATTCTGTATTTTAATGCCCTCTTAAACAGCCCTGTAACAAGCCAGATTTCTGTAGCATGATCATACCAAACAGAATACATAAAATAATACACATACCTGGGTAGTACAATATGACATCGTTTCTTCAATTAGTAATTAATTCTCTAAAGACAAAAAATTCAGACCCTACACCCTAATCGACCCTTCCCCCTCCCCTCCCCCCTTTGCGTGCAGTTTTAAGTTACTGACTACCGTTGCAAGGTAGTCACAATTTATATTTGAGTCCAACTACTAGCATTTTCATTTAAAAACTTTCTTTTCAAAGCACATACAAGGAAGACAATTTATGACGATAATTTGTAACGATTATTTTTCAAAAGATTCACCAGGCAGGCCTACAACTGAACAATCGACTTAGGTCAACCCCCATACGGGGAAGTTCGGTTTAGGTTAGGTTTAGACGAAGGAACAACATCACGGCACAAGGGTAGTATCTCATAAGTGCTCCGTTCAACTTCTGACTCAAGCCTGGGTGCACGAACTCCGTAGCATCGGCGAGGATCCTGAAAATACTTTGGCAGGGTTTTTAACCCCACAATTTGGCCCGGCAGCGCTGTAAGGCTACTCTTTTTTTTGAATTTCCAACTGCCAAGGGATATTTTACGCGTGCAACAATACACACGGGAGTCCGATTTTACTACCTAGAGAGCAGTGGAAATTACTAGAAGTCCCCATGAAAAAATCTCAAATCACCGGAAGTGACGTGAACAAACACTGGGATAGAAAACGGGCAAATATTTCCTGTATTTCAGTCGCTGAACTAGTCGAATAAACAGAGAGATCAGGCTCAGATGTTTTACACATGTTGCAACAAAGGAATGTGAAAACATTTTGGCAATTAGCAAACACGATGGGAAAAGTTCATGTGAAAAGCAAAGCGGTAAAACAGGGAAGGCATAGTTATATGGTAAAATCCGCACAAGAACACAGAGCCGATCCTTGACTAATGATCGAGTGAGGTGATGAACTACTAACGTCAGTGTTAATCTGCATGGGGCATGATGGTGATAATAAATCTACATTTGGCAATTTGCAACCATCAGCATCGCAGGCCCTGGAACTTGTGGCGCGTGTGTGTATGTATAGATGTATGTATCTATTCACATTATTTTCACGTTGATCTGTGGTTTTGGCGTGGAGCCGGCAGAGATGCCATATTCCTCAAGGGTGCTGCTATCTTGGAGCTCTGTGCTGTTGTAAAGCCATCGCTGCTGTCCACCAGATAGTCCAAACTGTATTGACAGATTGATAGATTAGAGGCTGTTTTTCAGTTACACATAAACAAATAGGAGCGACACACACACACACACACGCGCGCGCGCGCGCACCCATATACATTTGAGCCTAATGATTTAGATCTGCGAGGCTGGTGCACACGCCATAAACTGTGCAGGTTAGAGTAATTTTTTTTCAATCCCCCTCTATTTTTTTCTTCTTCTTCTTCTTCTTCTTCTTCTTCTTCTTCTTCTTCTTCTTCTTCTTCTTCTTCTTCTTCTTCTTCTTCTTCTTCTTCTTCTTCTTCTTCTTCTTCTTCTCTTCCTTCTCCTCCTCCTTATGTTGGTTTTCCTTGTCAGTGTTTTTCAAAGGTATAGGCCAGATGCCTTTGTATAGCGTCTCAAGCACCGAATGTCCTCCACTAATCCAGGCAGGTTGGTTTCTACCGACACGCCTACTGGCCCGGGATGAGACCTCTCTGCTGTATGTAGAAAACACGGCTCAAGTACCGGATGTCCTCCACTGATCCAGGCAGGTTGGTTTCTACCGGCACGCCTACTGGCCCGGCATGAGACCTCTCTGCTGTATGTAGACAACACGGCTGAAGCACCGAATGTCCTCCACTGATCCAGGCAGGTTGGTTTCTACCGGCACGCCTACTGGCCCGGCATGAGACCTCTCTGCTGCATGTAGAAAACACGTCTGAAGCACTCTTCGATATTTAATCGTGGCCACCTGTTTTATTGTAAACTATGTTTGCGTCTTGGCAGTAATCGAACAAGTTTAGGTTTATCAGACTGGCAGCTGTTTGAAAACAGATATCCTCGCATATGAAGTCGCAACATTCTATATGGTATGGAGATGGAGGCAGTAACGGCAGTTTTCATGTGGCTTGAGAGCAACACAGTCCGAGACATGCTGTAATTGCAGCCGATTTAGTTAACATCATCAAGTGAATTGCCAGCTGCCGTATGCGTTCATGCATCTCCACATATCCCGGTCTTCTGTGTTCTGGATCAATTCCACTGAAAATATTCCTCAATGCCACTGTCTCAAGCCATCCACCATCAGTTCTCTTGGTCTGCCTCTGCCTCTTCTAACAGTAATCTTTAGTTTCGACTCGATATTATCCAGTGCTGATGTTCTCAGTACATGACCAAAGAGCTTTGTTTGTCTCATTCTCATTTAATGTTCTACTTTTATTAGCCATTTCCAGGCAATCATTTTCAGATATTCTGGCAGTCCAAGCTATTCGCGGCATTCTTGCCAATAACCACATCTCAGATGCCCCCAAGTTTTTTTTTTTTAAATATTTTTTTTTGGAAGGGGGGGGGGGCGGGAGGGGGGGGCGGGACTTGCTCCCATTCAAAGATTCCCTGACATACACCAGAAAAGCCTCGATGTAACAATTCGGTACTTGTTTTTTTTAAATGTTTAATAAGAGTGATTTAATACATAAGATCCTCAATGAATATTTATTGTAAAATTAAAGCCGGCGTCCCAGGCGTAGAACGGCTGATCAATTGATAAATCTCAGGTCAGGAGCATATAAATGGATTTATGCCTAGGAAATGTCCGTGTGAGGTGTAACGAACAAGCTGATGTACTGGAGTTCCAATGTGGTTTACTTCGGCGTTCGTAGGCGTATATAATCTTTGTGTTTGGTTGTGTTGACGTGAGTCTATTTCAGGCGCCGCCGCCGTCTGTGTACAAGCAAGAAGCGCTGCAGGTGGAGCGCAGCAGCCACGACGATTCTTGAACATCGAATCTGGGATATTTTTTGTATTTCTACGTTCGTTAGCGGTGCCCCCCCCCCCCCCCCCCCCCCCCCCCCACACACACACACAATCCTTTCCCGAGACAAATAAAACACTTACAAAGATCGTAGGAGTAAAATAAATATCGCTGTTTCCATAGTGCTGAACCGTCGCGCAGTTAGCAGAACGTGGAAACAATTACGCGTCAGCGTGGAGAAGACGAGGAAAGAGAGAGACTTTAGAGCGTTCACAGTGAGGAATACGTGACACCCCTGCAAGATAGGAGACGCCCTGCCTCACAAGGAGGCATTAATGGAAAGGAAAGTCACTTTGTTTTGGGGCCTGAGTTCGTTACTAGAACCCCCCCCCCTCCCCCCTTTTTTTCCCACCACTTTCTTGAAGGTTATGGGTGTGTCCCGCTCTGTTGTTTGCTTTTTGTCTTGTCGCACGTTCTCATTCCCGAGAAAGAGAATGCCTGTGACATAGGTTGCAGCACTCTCTAGGGAGTTGTCAGGGCCATTCTCCGTGTGTTTGGAGTGTTAAAAGCGCTGGCGTGCTGAACTATACAACAGGCGATATCAACATCATTGCGGAACACCCCCGTAACCTTGTGCCAAAGTGACAGGTTTAGGAACTACAAATCAGAAGTGAGCTAGAGTATATATGAGCAGGGCGTGGAGGAGATTAACGTTACGTGTTTCGACTTAGGATCCAGTGGGCAGTACAAAAGAAAAAAAAAACATAGAATTAATCAACTGAATGACTAATGTAACAGGGAGTGAGTAGTAAGTCGAGGTGCTGAAATATAATCAACACTGGGTGGGAAATGTAGGTGGACTTTAAAAACTCAGGCATTGGCACAAAGCCAAAGTGAAAGTGAACGAACCACTGGGACTTTCCGCTGGAGCTTACAACCGATTAACACAAAAAGAAGAAGAAGAATTAGATTGAAGCCGTCATTATTAGTAATATTAGCATGTCTACTTTTCGCTGACTTATGAGGAAGGAGACGGAACACGCGTGGGAATGTCCCGGGGGCGGTGATGTCGATTCTTGATTAATTAATTCTTATTGCCAGTACCTAATGCATGAGACTTATTGATGACAAACATACCACATGAGATAAATCATCCTTGAGTCCGGAAATGACTGTCCCTATGCCACAGTCAGCCTGTAAACAGACAGAGAGATGTATAATTTGTTTAAACATCATCCTTGAATCTAAAAATGGCTGTCAGTGTGCCACAGTCAGGAAATAAAGATGGGCGTCATTTTCTAGATCTAGAGAATGTCTTCCTGTGTCTCACATCTATTCTATCCAGCGTTCCGGAGAACAATGAAAATCGCAAGGATCCATTTCAGGACTGTATGGAATCTGATGAAACAAAGTCGTGTGTCGCCAAGAAAACCTGAATCAAATGCGAGAATAGTCAGGTCTATCTCACGAAGAACTCAAAGGCTGCAAGTTTCCCCATGTGCCTGTCCATTCTTCGCATCTGATGCAGTTTTCGTTGATACGCAATGAGATTAGGTCAGTCCTAGCCCATTACTGCGGAGAAGGGGTGGTGGGGTTTGTCACATGACGTGTCTGTCGCATGTCTTTTTTAGGGTTGACCCTAGTAATCAAAGACACTCTGAAGTGACTTAATGTTAGATGGTGGTTCGCATTGGTCTAGAAGGTACTCCGCTGCTCCAACGACAATCCAACATCACTTCTGGGTGAGGCGACTTAAATTATGATTCCCACTGTAATAACAAATATACTTGGGCACAACTTGGCCTGACCTCCTCACCACTAAGAAGATCACATAATTTTTTTTTTTTTTTAACGCAGTAATGGATCTGTCAAAACAACACCACACTCCGAAACAATCTAACCTAAAAAAAAACTGAAAAAGATTGGACACTGACAAATCTAAATCCAGAATAATAATACATAATGTAATAAATACAACACAGGTAAAGACTCTGAAAAGTAAATTAAAGAAGAGGACAAATCAATAAAACTACTGAATTAAAACTGAACTATTCCGAAAGACTCCTGGTCTGATTACAACACTTCACAGCTCATCATAGCATGATCTTGTTGTGGCCACTAGGTGTCTTGGGTGACTGCATCTCAGGTTGATTCCCAATACTTATTAGAGATGGACTTGATCCTCTCCACACTTCGTAGGTCAGACTTGAATAGGAGCAGCGCTTGGCCAGAAGTAAGGCCTCAGCTCTGTGATGCCATGTCCTCAAATGATATATACTATCAATTAAATGTGCAAGCAGCTCTTTTGTTCGTGTTTAACTATAGGGTAAAGTTCCCCAAATAAATTACTAATGTCAACAATTAACACAGCAATTTGCAACCCTCGGGTTAGGTTTGGCAGAAGGGCAGATCATAGACCCTGTATATTAGCACATGAAGATGACTGATTAGTACAAAATGCCATGTGTCAAATGTGACACCAATTGTCACCTCCTGCTGTACTGTAAGGAGGTAGGTGCTGGTAGGTACTGGCATAGGAAGCATTTGTACAACACTGGTAGAATATATATTGCGATTCGGGTTAGGCCTGCAGAGAGGTCCTTAAGCATCTGATGCTCATTTGAAGTTTCCGGGGGGGAGTGCATACTTTCCAAGAAGGTACTGAGAGACTTTCAAGACAAGGGCGAAACCCGTCTGTATGCTCTGGAGACTGAGCCACGAATAGCAATTTAAATCTGAAACTTGCCCAAGGTAGAAGCTGGAGGAATTCCTTCCGCGAACAAACGATAGTTCGGCAGATGGAAAAAAGGCCTCGATACATTTAGAAATCACTTAGCTGAGAGTGAATTTATAATATAACTCACTTCCAATAGATATAGGAACGAACTGAGTATTTATCCCGAAATCTTCTTGACCGATACTTATCAAAGAAGGACTATATACTTATAGAGGAAGAGTCCATATTTGAAATAAGATAACTTGCATTGAGGGGTACAAAATGTAGGCAAGTACGAGACCAGAGGGGTGCTCTGCTGTACTGTGACAGGAGTAAGGGGTAATCTATCTAATGGAAGCAGTCCTGACACAAATGTATGCAGAAGTGGGTCGCGTTGAGCTAGATAACTGTTCATGACCAACTCATCATTAGCACCATGTGCCTTGCCAGCTGGCGTAGGCGTTCATGCATCTCTATAGATCTCGATCTTTGGTGTTCTGAATCAATTTCACTGAACATTTTCCTTCATACCACTGTTTTCAGCCATTCACCATCATTTTTCTTGGTCTGCCTCTGCCTCTTCTACCAGTAAACTTTACAGTCGTCACGATATTTTCCAGTGCTCCTTTCCTCACGACATGACAAACGAACCAAAGAATGACCAACTACCCTGGAGAGAAGATAGAAAGAAAAGTAAACAAAGACAATTGTTACCTCGTGAATAGTGCAGGTTCCGTGTACCCTCTCGAGGTTGAACTCTACGCGAATATAAGGCTCTGCCTCCAGATTCTGCCTTTTCTCTGACATAATTGATACCTGGTCAGTGGCTTCCTCTCTGCAATGCACAATAATTATCTTACAATTATCTGGCAATGCGTCGTGACTACTTTTTTTGGACGGTTCTCACTACCAACATAATTTTTTTTTTTTTCGGCTATAAAATTTTTCACAGCATGATAATAGGTAACACCTGGTTTAAACACCATCCTCGAAGATTGTGGACTTGGAAAAGTCCTGGTGATAATGTCCGCCATCAGACTCATTATATTTTGATTTCAAGAAGATTCCAGAGCAGCTTAGTTGGAGCAAAAAACTAGACCAGGGGCAGACTGCTTTAGTGACCATGTTCCAGTTGTCGGAAAAATTAGAATAAAACTAAAGAACATTAGAAAAACACCACAGAACATCAAGTTAAATTTAGGAATTCTTAGAACCGATAAAGAAATTAAGGAACAGTACAATGTCACTGTACAAAACCGGTATAATGCAATGGAAATTATACAGACTATTGATGAACAGTGGGATATGTTGCGTGAGTCAATTCAGCAGACATCAAAAGAGACAATCCCACCAACCCATAGAGTTGCAAAAAAAGAAATGGATGTCAACCGAAATTCTGCAGTTGATGGTTGAAAGAAGGAAGAAAAAGAATGATAAAGAAGAATACTCTAGAATACAAAAAGAAATAATGAACAAATGCAAAGTGGCTAAAGAAGCCTGGCTGAATCAAATGTGTACAGAGATTGGGGAAAATCACGGGAAAGACTCACATTCCATGTACCAACAGATAAATATGTTTACAGAAAAGATGACACGTAACAGCACTGGATGTTTGAAATCAAAAGATGGTGACTTATTAATGGGACATAGTAATATAATTAACAGATGGACAGAGTATATAGGGGAATTGTATGATGATAATAGACCAGATGTAGAACTGCAGACCAACAATGATGGTCCACCAATAATGACTGCAGAAGTAGAGGATGCAATACATCATATGAAGAAAGGAAAAGCACCCGGGCCAGACAACATCTCACTGGAAGAAATCGAAACACTGGGAGATTTTGGAATTGAAATAGTAATAGTGGGCATATTCCAAACGAACTTTGAAAATCTATATTTATAGCTCTGCCAAAGAAACCAGGAACTTTAAAATATGAAGACCATTGCACAATAAGTCTTATGAGTCACATGACTAAGATTTTACTGAGCATAATTATGAGAAGAATAAAAAACAAAATTAAACCAGAAATCAGCGATGAACAATGTGGCTTTGTAGAAGGAAAAGGTACAAACGATGCTATTTACATCCTAGGAACATTGTCAGAAAGAGCTGTAGAAGTAAAGACTGATTTGTACTTATGCTTCATAGACTATACAAAAGCATTTGACTGTGTGAAGCATGAAGAATAATCAAACTGTTAAAAAAATTAAACATTGATGGGAAAGATCTACGAATAATACAGAATATGTAGTGGCAGCAAACAGCAGCTATAAGAATTAACAACTGTTTAGGTACATTTCAAAGCATGAAGAGGGGTGTACGACAGGAATGTGTACTTTCACTTGATTTGTTTTCAATATACAGTGAATATATAATGAGATCTTTAATTGATATGCCCGGAATTGTGCTTGGTGGGCACAATATAAACAATTTACGTTATGCTGATGACACAGTCTTGATAGCAACAAGTCAGAAAGAATTGCAGGAAATGATAAACATTGTGGTGTTAGAAAGTGGAAGAATAGGTCTCAGTTTGAATAATGGGAAGACAGAAGTAATGTTGGTATCAAAGAAACAAATTATTCCTAAATGTGTAATAAAAGTCAATAGTGTTATTTTAGGACAAGTACATAAATTTAAGTATCTGGGCACATGGATAACATCAGATGGAAGATGCATAACTGAGATAAGAAACAGAATTGGACAGGCAAAAACTGCATTTTATAAAATGAAAAACATCTTGTGCAATATATCCTTGTCATTGAGAGTTAGAAAAAGAATTCTTGCTTGCTACATACATCCAGTTTTAACATATGGATGTAAATCCTGGACAATCGGTAGGCTGGCCAAACAATTTTTAGAGGCCTCAGAGATGTGGTTTTACAGAAGAATGCTTAGAATACCTTGGACAACCAAAAAGAGCAACCAAGAGGTTTTGAAAGAGGCGGGAGCCCGAAGACAACTTATCACAGACATCAGAAGGAGACAGTCATCATTTTTCGGCCATGTTATGAGAAGAGGGAAAATAGAACATGTTGTGACCACTGGAAAGATCTGTGGAAAAAAGGAAGGAGGAAGACAACGAGAGAAGATGCTTGAGATGATAGAAAATCGCGTCTGTACATCGTCCTCTCCTTCACAAACATGCTGTAGCTGGGAAAAAAACAACATAACATTCCGGCCCACTTGGCGCAGTAGTTTACATGTGTTCATTACGTATATTGTAGAGTGACAAATAACAGCCTTGAAAAAAATGAACGTGGTTGAAAATGACCATACCCGTACCTAGGTCACTCTGGCGTAGAGCCGATGAAATTAAGGAATACGGGGTCACTACTAAAGGTAATGTTTTAAAAATCTACCCTTTTATATAAACGCCTTAAGAACCAGTGTCATTTCATACAAACGCTTTAGGAACCAGTGTCATTTTATAAAAACGTTTTGAGAACCAGTGTCCTTTCATATAAACACTTTAAGAACCAGTGTCACATAACAAAGAAATGTTTAGAACTAGTGTTCCTTCTTATAAAGGCTCTAAGAACCGGTGTCATTTAATTTAAACGCTCTAATAACCGCTGTCATTTTATATAAACGTTTTGAGAACCAGTGTCCTTTCATATAAACACTTTAAGAACCAGTGTCACATAACAAAGAAACGTTTAGAACTAGTGTTCCTTCTTATAAATGCTCTAAGAACCGGTGTCATTTAATTTAAACGCTCTAATAACCGCTGTCATTTTATATAAGCGATGTCCTTTCATACAAACGCCCTAAGAACTAGTGTCCTTTTATATAAACACACTAAGAACTAGTGTCATTTCATATAAACGCACTAAGAACCGGTGTCCTTTCATATAAACTTCCTAAGAACCGGTATCCTCTCATACAAAAGTCCTAAGAAACTAAAAGTTCATGAAATCGCTAAGATAGAAATTCACGGAATCCCAGAAATCGCAGTTCCAAATTCATAGCAATCAGATCAATCTTTAGTAGTTCACTTCCCAACGAAATCCACATGTAATGTCCCCCACTGTCCCTTGTAATAAACTGAGACAGGCTGCAGTTTCAACAAAGTCATCATCATGCACACGCAGTAAATGCACAAGGCAGCGGTCAAAAGTGCCAACACAATCAGTCAGTCACTAGAAATGCAGCTCATAGTCGATGGAAGCAGCACTTACTAAAGATTAGTAGATGTGCACATGCAGTTAATCGCATAAGGCACTATCAGTTCTCTATTTGCTATTTCTAAATCTGTAGTTCATTATACAAGCCACATTGGGCACAATCGAAAAGATTGCAAATTAAATCCGCAAGTCACAGTATCGTTGCCTGCACTCAACTCTGTAGGTGACTGACGGAACTATATGCTTTCAAATGTCAAGGGAAGATGTGACGTTCATTGATGAGCTCTGCCAAGAGCATTATTACGACTGATGTTCATTTCTATAAGGCTGTTCTTAATGCCATCACTCCATTTTTTCCGAGGTCTTCCACTCGCTCTATACCCGTTGCAACGTTTTAGTATGGCTCGCTGTGGCAGATAGTACCAGGGTATTCTTGTTAGGTGTCCAAACCACTTCAATTGTTGTTCTTTGATGACCTGTAAGACTGGCTTTATTTCGTGATTTTAAGACCGACTAAAGGCAGAATGTTGGTCACGGTTTTATAATAAACTCAGAAGGGGGTTGGGGGGGGGGGGGACACTAGAGAATACACCACGCATTATGTGGAATTCACAAGGCTAACCAAGAACAGATCTTGCGTTGTTTGGGTCCCGTTAGTAGCCTTGCAATGTCGATTTATGTGGCTTCATCGTATGCAGATTGCTACGGTTTGGAGACCTGGAGAACTGGTAAACAAGGTTAAAAAAAAAAAAGCCCTTGTATAAGAATGCTGGAAATGTTTAAACAGCCAAGCCGAGTAATTTAAATGGATTGAAAGATCACACACATCAATTTTATATTCCTTCCCTCAAGACAATTCTACAGAGGCTTATCATTTCCAGTTGGTTTTGTCATCTCCTTGAGAGATTCAATTTTTCGTTTTTTTGAAGCCCAGCCCTGACTCTTTCCAGGGGCCGCAATATAGTCCGGCCATACATATGGCTTAATGACTGAACGCGGTTTCTGGGACCCCTCCACGGGTGATCCTCATCCACATTGTGGCACTTGTGTCATCGGGTGTTTATCGTTTGTGTGAGGTCATAGAGGGGTAACATGTACTACTACTAAATTTCCAATTATTTGTAACTTATTAAAGGCAAGGTCGTCTTAACGGCATTATGGGCTTACGGAAAAACCAATGTGCTGGGGCCTTTACGAGATATACCCCTTAGGGAGGGGGGGGGGGCGGGGGGAGGGAGAGGACCTAATTTGGTTGAAAAAGAAACAAGGATGTGGAAGAGAAGTATGATCGGCCACGTCATTTAGCATAGCACATGATGATGCTTACTAACTTATTTCCGGTCCCCTGCGTTTATTTGCAACTGAAAAAATACAGTAACTGGTCTAGGTTTTCGTGTGTCTAATCACCGGCAATTAGATGCTAGGGTGTAGCTAGGACAGACACACATACGTCCCCTTCTGCCATTTCCATACCAACATTAGCTGAAATTGTATTTCCGACATGCATCAACACTTTGTAAACTTACCAAGCTGGTTTACTTCCGGCTTTCTCACTTTTTTTTTTGCAGAATTTGCGCAAAATGCAACTTTGAAAAGTCGATTCTTTTTGTGAATTCCTCAGTATAACCAAAGTGTAGATTTTGATTTGACGTCCAGCAGGAAATAAACAACAGTTTGTAGAAACACAGGTGTACAGGTGACACACACACAAACGCACCACCGCAGTTTGAAACTTTTGCTGCTTGATAACACCTGGAACTCCCGAGAACTATAAATAGCTACGGGTAAATCCTTAAATACTCAGTTTCTATTTTAGTCTCCATACTCAAGTTTGCCACTACCGCCCCCTTTCACCTGAAAAAAAAATGGTAGGGAGGGTGGGCTAGCTCCCTACCCATAATTGTTCGGGTGCCGAGCAGTGCGACCCGAGCCGTGCGGCCCTCTATTTCTCCTCGAAAAGTAACGGATAAAAAAATCTAAGTGACCCTAATCATATACATAGTTCTTTTTGAAGCATTTGCTTGTACATATAATATTATTTCACTCAAACCGTTATATTTATGTGCCACCATCATCATCATAAACCACTTCTGCCGTTAAGCGTCGTGGGGAGGAATAATTTGCGTTCCAGTGCACGTTGGCTGCCACTGGTTATTGTCATGCCGTGAAGGCGTAGAGTGTCTTTAATGTTGTCGATCCATGATTTCCGCGGCCGTCCTCTTGCTCTTGTAGTTGGTCTTCTGAGATGTAGTGCTTGTGATGGTATTTGATCTTGCTGCATTCTAACGAGATGGCCAAACCACTTGATCTGCTGTTTCTCGATGAATCTAGTACAAGGTGTCGTTCCCACAATTTGCCTGATAGTTTCATTATTCACTCGATCTCGGATGGTTAGGTTGGCTGCTTTTCTCAGGCACCTCATCTTGCAGGTGGTAATTTTGCGTATATGGGCTTTAGATAGTGTCCATGTTTGGCACTGGTAGCTTAATGTTGGAATAAATATGCTAATAATAATCTGTCTCTTTGCACTCATAGTTATGCTTGGATGTCTTAATAATGGTGACAATTGGTATATAAGTGCACTTGCTTTCTGACATCTGGTTTCTATTTCTCTGTCAATTCTACCATCTTCTGTGATCATACTTCCTAGATATTAAACTACCAAACTTGATTCAGGGCAGAACCATTCAGCTGTATGTGTAGTGGGGCAGCATGTCTACTAACTTGCATTGTTTCGGTTATTTACGTGCCATATAATCTAACGTAATGGGGCCTTTCTCCACGCCTTCAGGGTCATTGCGCATATAGGGCTAGACCTTCGGCGCTCAGTGGGTGATGTGATCAGATTTACGCCGGCCGCCTGTACTTCCATGGACAGTACCCGGTACCATTTTTGGTCTGGGTCGACCTGGAAGCCAAGGTCATTTTTGGAAGGGGAAAACAATGTCCGGCCCCATTAAGATCTGAACCCACTACCTCGAGATTCAAAGGCGAGCGTCTAGCCACTACACCAAGGCGGCTTTCTATTCGCAAATAATAACAATACAGCTTTTGTCTATCTGATAATTATTGTAACGTATTGTGTCTATCTTATAATTATGGTAATGTACTGTGTAAATCAAATAATTATTGTAATGTATTGTGTTTATGCGATAATTTTTGTAATGTATTGTGTCTATCTGATAATTATTGTAATGTATTGTGTCTATCTGAACATTATTGTAATGTATTGTGTCTATCTCATAATTATTGTAATGTATTGTGTCTATCTGATAATTATTGTAATGTATTGTGTCTATCTGAACATTATTGTAATGTATTGTGTCTATCTCATAATTATTGTAATGTATTGTGTCTAACTGATAATTATTGTAATGTATTGTGTCTATCTCATAATTATTGTAATGTATTGTGTCTATCTGATAATTATTGTAATGTATTGTGTCTATCTCATAATTATTGTAATGTATTGTGTCTATCTCATAATTATTGTAATGTATTGTGTCTATCTCATAATTATTGTAATGTATTGTGTCTATCTCATAATTATTGTAATGTATTGTGTCTATCTCATAATTATTGTAATGTATTGTGTCTATCTGAACATTATTGTAATGTATTGTGTCTATGTAAACATTATTGTAATGTATTGTGTCTATCTGAACATTATTGTAATGTATTGTGTCTATCTGAACATTATTGTAATGTATTGTGTCCATCTGATAATTTTTGTAATGTATTGTGTCTATCTGAACATTATTGTAATGTATTGTGTCTAACTGATAATTATTGTAATGTATTGTGTCTATCTGAACATTATTGTAATGTATTGTGTCTATCTGAACATTATTGTAATGTATTGTGTCTATCTGAACATTATTGTAATGTATTGTCTCTATCTGAACATTATTGTAATGTATTGTGTCTATCTCATAATTATTGTAATGTATTGTGTCTATCTCATAATTATTGTAATGTATTGTGTCTAACTGATAATTATTGTAATGTATTGTGTCGATCTGAACATTATTGTAATGTATTGTCTCTATCTGAACATTATTGTAATGTATTGTGTCTATCTGAACATTATTGTAATGTATTGTCTCTATCTGAACATTATTGTAATGTATTGTGTCTATCTGAACATTATTGTAATGTATTGTGTCTATCTGAACATTATTGTAATGTATTGTGTCTATCTGAACATTATTGTAATGTATTGTCTCTATCTGAACATTATTGTAATGTATTGTGTCTATCTGAACATTATTGTAATGTATTGTGTCTATCTCATAATTATTGTAATGTATTGTGTCTATCATATTTTTGTTTATCTTGCAATTATTGTAATCTTTTTTTTTTTTTTTACAGATGGCTCTAATAAATAATTAATTTTAGAGATCATTCACGGAATTCCCCCAATGGTTCTTGCTGTGTCGGCTGATCTGACATTACAGTTAAGCTGTCGATGAAAAACAAATAAATCTACGTTCACAACAACAAAAAACAAAAAAATTTCAAGTTCTGAGGGATCTGAGTGTCTCATCATCATCATGTAGCAGGTCCTTTGCAGAAAGTCGCCCTCATCACAGTCTGCCTGAAAGAAACTCGGTCTCTCGCCAGCTCTCCCGCCTCATGAACCTTCATACTCAAGGAGTCCTTATATCATGTGCCCATCTTTGTGTTAGTCAGCCCATGCCCCTGCTAGAATTTTTTCCAATTGGTCGTGGCGCTTTAAATGACCAAAATATTTCGGCTTCCGAGACAGGATTCTGTTTATTAGCCAATCTTCCTTGATGTTCAGATCTTTCAAGATGTCAATATTTCTCCTCTTCTTTGTCCAAGATTTTCTGAGAATCTTTCTATAGCTTTGAGCTCAAACGCCCCTATCCTCTTTCTTAAGGACAGAGAGATAGTCCACGACTCACATCCGTATGTAGCCACAGGGAAGATGCATGCTCTCAAAATTCTAATTTTGATCCCCTTGTTGGTGCTTAACTAAAGACGTTTTAGGCTGTTTCATCTTTACACTATTAGGGCCATCCTCCTTTTAATTTCTGTTAAACAGTCTCCATTGCTATTTATTATAGAGCCTTGATATTCAAAGTTTGTGACATTTTCAATGTTTTCACCATTTATTTTTATTTTTGGGTGACAGCCGGTTTTATCTGTGGACATTATTTTCGTTTTCAAAAGGATCTATTAACCAAACACACTTTTCAGTCCGGCCAGTAAACAATCAGTAAACCAACCACTCATTCAGTCACCAACCAACCAATCAAACCACCAATCAAACCACCAATCAATCATTCAACCAACAGACCAATTGGTCAAACAACCAAATTATTAGTAAACAGACTAATCAATCAGTCAATCAATCAATCAGTCAAACAATCAATCAATCAGTCAGTCAACCAACCAATCAATCAATCAGTCAACCAATCAGTCAACCAACCAAATAATTAGTCAGCAATCAATCAACCAATCAATCAGTCAACCAACCAAATAATTAATCAGTTAGCTAGCGATCAGTCAACCAAACAATCAGCCAGTCAGTAAATAAAAATGCCAGACAAACAATCAAGCAGTCATTTAACCAACCAAATAATCAGTCAAGCAAGTAGATATTCTTTAGCCAATCAACCAACCAATCAACCAACCAACATGCCAGACAACCAATCAACCAGTCATTTAACCAACCAAATAATCAGTCAAGCAAGTAGATATTCTTTAGCCAATCAACCAACCAATCAACCAACCAACATGCCAGACAACCAATCAACCAGTCATTCAACCAACCAAATAATCAGTCAAGCAAGTAGATATTCTTTAGCCAATCAACCAACCAATCAACCAACCAACATGTCAGACAACCAACTAATAGGTTAACCAATCCGTCAAGAAAGCAATACAAATCAGTCTACCAACCAAACACTCAAGCAAGTCAACAATCAATCAAACAACAAATCAGTAAAGCAACCAACAAGTCAGACAACTAATTAATCAGACAGCCGAGTAATCAGTCAACCAGTCAGTCAACCAATCAATAATAATTCAACCAGCCAAACAAGCAGTCAAGTAACTAACCAACGACTTAGAAAAGTACAATGCAGCCCATAATGATAATGCAAACACGAATCCTGTCAGAGACCTCTTCAGGCACCTCAGACAGAACTGTCTTCAGCAGAGTACCAGCTAAACAGAGATAGAATAAGGACACTTGAGAAAAACAATTAATGAAAAGTCGTCGACGTGGTCGACCATGACTTTATTAGCTGCAAACGAACTTGCAGATCATAGGAAAACAAAAGGTTCAACTCTCAGTCCCTACAAAGCAAAACATCCATGTTCATTCATCTCTCACTGTTCTTCTCTCCCGTTTAATACCGATATCCAAAAGTACACTGGTGCGCAAACTCACGTCTTTTTTTTTTTTTTTTTGGGTCCATGACACTCAGCCACCACTTATATTGATACTTTCTGACTGTAGTCGAATGTCACTGAGCTAATATGTACGGCTGTTTTTCTATTCTCATTTGACCAAAGTCAAATATCGTTTTTTTTAAGTGAGTTTGCGTGTGTAACCCATCGTCTACCCTATGTCAGTAATTTCGATGATCTATGAGGTGTCGTGCATGAATCCGTGAGGTGTCATAATAAGTACATAAGCATAGACAGCTGTCCTGATGAAATATCTGTTAAGTTAATCATCAGTTCTCGTTGTCCCTAGTGTCACATGAGGCTTCCGAGAGGACTTTCCATGCTTTCCTGTCCTGTGCAATCTTCAGTGCAGTTTTCCATGTCATAGATGCCGCACTCAGGTCCCTTTCCATCGTTTTTCTCCATGTTGTTTTTGGGCGCCCCTGTTTTCTCTTTCCCTCTGGGGTCCATGTGAGAGCTGTTTTGGCAGGTATATCAGAAGTCATTCTCATAACGTGGCCAAGCCATTTCCATTTTCTCTTGGTTATCATATTGTCTAAAGTTTCTTGGTTTGTGACTTGAAGTAGTTTAGTATTTGAGATTGTATCTGGCGTAAGTCAATCATAGTATTAAGAAAAACATAGCACCACAAGAAAAACGCATAAGTGTAACAATCAATAAAATAATGAAATCTGATGGTGAAACATGCTAAAATACATCAATTAGTAGACATGTATTTAATGTCCTAACCTATAGAATGCAACTCTTTAGTTTCCAACACCAGCTAAATGCCACTAGTGGGTTTTTAAAAAGCCCACAGAACTCGGCAAAGTGGTCCTATGTAATCCTCAAGGAGTACGCTTCTAGTCTGCATAGTCTCAGGTTCAGCTATCTCCTTTATTTGAATATCAGATCAATAAATTTACTGAATTGGGATTGTTTGGCAAACAAAAATTTAATTTGAAATCATTTTTCTAAACAAAATTGTTACTGCTGTAAAGAAATTCAGTCAATACCTATTTAGTGTGAATAGATAAAGACCTATATGAAATAAACAAAACATGTCAAGTAATGAGAAGCAATGTTGGACGAGAGATTATTGGACTGATTTCAGAAATGAAAATACTAGGTTACCGCATTTCTCATCCTGCTGGTTTTATAATTTAGGTTTCACATTGTCAATAGAAGACTATAGAAGTTTGATGTATATAATATTATTCAATACCCTCTGTTCTCCTTGTGGGTCCCAGGGCCCCGTTGTGGGGTAAACAAGAAAAGACCCATTGCCTGCCCAAAACCATGTCGTAAGAGTCGACAAAATGGGAGCTTTTTTTTTCTAAGTCGGAGCACATCTGCCTGAGAGGCAAGGAACAAACAATCTACATGCAGATGAATCAGACCTGTGAAACGGATGTGCACTCAACACTCAGTTTCTGGAACAGGACACTAAAGTAAAGAAGTGGGCGAGCAACTAGAACTTTCTGCCGGAGTTTACAGCTGGTGAACGCGAAGAAAAATACTCTCTGTCAGAGACCTTTTCGAGTCACTCTGACAGAACCCTCTTAAGCAGAGTACCTGTTAAACAGAGATCGAATGAAGACACATGGAAGACACTTTGTGAAAGGTCATCGACGTGATCGACATTCTTTATTAGCTGCAACAGTTCTTGTATAAAGCTAAAAACTGTCAGTCCCTACAAAACAAACCGTCACTGTTCATTAATCTCTCACTTTTCTTCTCTCCCTTCAAGTCGATGTCCAAAAGTACACCGGTGCGCAAACACACGTCTCTTAAAACAATGCTAAAAAAGCAGTCGAAACACTAATGACTGTGTCCATGACAAATCCCTCTTTAGTAACCACATGATCTGTTTTGTTTTAATATCCTTCTCTGGCACTGCCACCTGCTCTCCATTCTTCATCCTTTAGAAAACCTCTCAATAACACAACCCATCTTTCCCCTCACAAGTTCTTTGTTCGTCTAGAAATGTAACGTTGTCTTCCTAAGGAATTGCTCTATCTCCACGCGACGGTCATACTCATCTGAAAGAGAGCAATCCACCTCCAACGAGTGAGCGTTTTCGCCAACCTGCAGTTTGGTTTGATGAGCTTCCGTGTGCCAGATGTCCATGGATAAAGCAGACGCCTTCCTGTTGGCGTCTTTCACCGCAAAAGACAACCTTACAAGGGGGTTCGAGATTTGGTACCGATACCGAGGGTCAAATGAATTTTGGAAATGCTCACAGAAGTCAAATATTTTGACTTCCTCGCGGCGCTCCATTTTTGTGAACTCTGTTTGACCAGGGATGCAAAAATGTGGCACGGCCTTGCAGTATCTGGTAGCATAGATGTTTCTGCCTCGCAGGTCAATGATGACCCCTCTTGTTAAGTTGTTCAATATTTTGTTAGTGTCGCGTTCTTGACAGGACAAGCCCACATTTTTTCTGATTTCTGGAAGTTCAAAGAGATCCACATGGTTGGGCCCGAACTGTTCAGGGTCCTGGCACGTCATGATGCTCTCCCTTGTTTCATCGTCAGGTACAAAGCAGATACGAAATGTCCTAGTGAAAACCTGAGACTTGACAACTTGATTTGTGTTGTAGTAGAC